GCAAATCTTTGCCAAGTGATTCAGATGGAGCTAGATCATGAAAGAATGTCCTACCTTCTCTATCAGATGCTATGTGGAATCAAGCACCTTCACTCTGCCGGAATTATTCATCGGGTTAGTAGAAAAAACTATCATCATTCTTATTGAGATGAAATTCACATAACAAAATTAACCATTTTAAAATGTACAATTCAGTGGCGTTTAGTACATCCACAGGGTTGTGAATGTTGTTGCAACTACCACCTCTATTAAATTCTAAAATATTTTCATCACTCCAAAAGAAAACCCCACATTCCCTTCTCTGCCTAGCCCCTGGCATCATACTAATCTACTTTCTCTGTCTGTTGATTTGTCTGTTCCGGATATTTCATTATAAATGGAATCTCATGACTAGCTGGACAAGAGCCACTGGGAGCCCCAGCTCTTTGCCTCAGGTGCCAGTTTGCTAGGAGAGCCTAAGGGGTGAAATGGTCTTTTTGTCTCAGAACTTGGTGGACAGCTTTGTATGTTTCCTGCTACCTTTTTAAGACAGACACTTGAGCTATATTCTAAAAAAGTAATAATAATAAAATTTAAAAAAGGGAATTGTATAATTTGTGACCTTTTGTGTCTGGCTTCTTTTACTTAGCATAATGTTTTCAAGGTTTATCCATGATGTAGCATGTATCAATAGTTCTCCTTTTTATGACTGAATAATGTTATATACTACATTTTGTTTATCCATTTATCCATTGATGGGGCATTTGGATTATTTCTACCTTTCAGCTATTATGGATAGTGCTGCTGTGAAAATTCATGTTCAAATATCTGTTTTCACTCCTTCTGGGTATACACCTAGGAGTGGAATTGCTGGTTCATATAGCAACTCTATAGTTAACTTTTTGAGGGACCATCGAACTGTTTTACACAGTGGCTGCACCATTTTACGTCCTCATTAGTGCAGCGTATGAAGTTTCAGTTTCTCTGCATCCTCGTTGATACATATGATTGACCTTTGATTCTAGCCATCCTAGTGGTTATGAAGTGGTATTTGCTTGTGATTTTGATTTGCATTTCCCTGATGACTAATGATGTTGAGAATCTTTTCATGTGCTTGTTGGCCATTTGTATATCTTTTTTGGAGAAATGTGTATTCAAGCCCTCTGTCCATTTTTTCATTGTGTTGCCTTTTTTTTGTTGTAGGCATAGGATTTCTTTATATATTCCATATACTAGACCCTTATCAGATACATGATTTGTAAATGTGTTCTCCTTTTCTGTAGACTGTCTTTTCACTTTGTTGATGATATCCTTTAATACACAGAAGTTTTTAATTTTCAAGAAATCTAGTTTATCAATCAATGTTTTTCTTTTGTTGCTTGTGTTTTTGGTGTCATATGTAAGAATCCATTGTCAAATCCAAGGTCATGAATATTTAGCCTTATGTTTTCTTCTAAGAATTTCATAGTTTTAGCTTTTGCATATAGGTCTTTGATTAATTTTGAGTTAATTTTTTAATATGGTTTGAGGTAAGGGTCCAACTTCATTCTTTTTTATGTGGAAATCCAATTGTCCTGGCATCATTTGTTAAAGAAACTATACTTTCCCCATCGAACGGTCTTAGCACTCTTGTGGAAAATCAGTTGGCCATAGACGTATGGTTTTCTTTCTGAACTCTTAGTTCTATTTCATTGATCAGTGTGTCTGTCCATATACCCCTACTACATTATTTTGATCACTATAGCTTTGTAGTAAGTCGAAGTGGGAAAGTATGAATTCTCCAACCTTGTTCTTTTTCAGTACTGTTTTGACTACTCCGAGCCCCTTGTGATTCTATGTAAATTGGAAGGTCAGCTTTTCTGTGTCTACGGAAAAGGCCATTGGAATTCTAATAAGGATTTCATTGAATCTATAGAGTACTTTGGGAATTTTGCCATCTTAACAATATTTAGTATTCCAGTTCATGAATACAGGATGTCTTTCCATTTTCTTAGGTTGTATTAGTCTACTTTTGTAGTCTAGAGGTCCATGATCAAGTTGCCAGCAAATTTGACTTCTGCTGAGGCCTCTTTTCCTGGCTTGCGGATGACCACCTTCTTGCTGTGTCCTCATATGGCCTTTCCTCTGCATGTGTGGCGAGAGAATGCTCTGGTGTTTCTCTCTTCTTATAAAGACACCAGTTCTATTGGAACAAGACCCCACCCTTATGGACCTCATTTTAACCTAAATTACCTTTATAAGGGCCTTATGTCCAAATATAGTCACATTGGGGTTTCGAGCTTCAATATATGAATTGGAGTTGGACACAATTTAGTACATTACATAGGTCTTATTTAACTAATTTCAGCAATGTTGTGTAGTTTTCTGTGTACAAGTCTTTCACCTTCTTAGTTTATTCCTAAGTATTATATTCTTTCGGAAGTTATTATAAATGGAATTGTAGTCTTTCCTTTTCAGATTGTTCATTGCTAGTATGTAGAAGCACAACTGATTTTGGTATGTTGAGTTATCCTGCAACTTTGCTAAATTTATTAGCTCTACCAGTTTTTTAATGGATTTTTAAAAATTATTTTCTGTACATAAGATTAAATCATCTGTTCCCTAGTTTTACTTCTTCCTTTCTAATTTGGGTGCTTATTTTTCCTCTTTTCTTGCCTAGCTGCTCTGGCTAGAACTTCCAATAAAATATTGAGTAGAAGTGGTGAAAGTGGGTATCTTTGTCTTATTCCTGAACTTAGGGGAAAGGCTTTCAGTATTTCACCATTAACCATTAAGTATGACATTAGCTGTGGGGTTTTCATGAATTTTTTTTTCTGGTTGCAGAAGTTTCCTTCTGCACCGGAGCTTAGTCACATTGTATAGTCAGAGGAAACAGATCGCACAAGACTGCCCTTAATCCAGTCACAAACTTGGAGGTTTTCCCCAAGACCACCCTCATTTCAGAGCAGCTAGCTACAAATGCAGGGGTCCTCACAACCACCTTCAGGTTTGATAATTCGCTAGAATGACTCATAGTACTCTGGAAAGTACCATACTTAACAATTAGTTTTATTACAATGAAAGGATACAAATTAGAACCAGCCAAAGGAAGAGACTCATAGGGCAAAATCTGGGAGAAGTCCAGACATGGAGCTTTCAGTTGTCCTCTCCTCTCGGTCACAAAGTATGACAATACACATAGAGTATTGCCCCAGAGAAGTTCAACCAAGCCTTTGGCATCCAGAGTTTTTATTGGGATTCAGTCACATACAGTTCCTCCTTATCTATGTGAGATACATTCCAAGACTTGCAATAGATGCCGGAAGCCACAGATAGTACCGAGATAGTACTAAACCTTATATATCCTATGTTTTTTCCTATACATACACGTATGGTAAAGTTTAACTTATAAATTAAGCACAGTAGCAGATGAACAACAATAATAGTAAAATACAGCAATTATAACAATATGCTATAAAAAAATTCTGTGAGTGTGGGCTGGCTCTCAAAATATCTTATTATACTGTTCTCACCCTTCTTGTGATGTGGTGGAGTACAGTGCCTACATGATAAATAAGATGAACGACGTAGGCATTGTGACACAGCATTATTAAATAAAGTAAGGGTTACTTGAATACAGGCACTGTGATGCTGCCACAGTCTATCTGATAATCAGGACAGCTGCTAAATGACTAACAGGCAGGTAGCATATACCTGGATGATACACTAGACAAAGGAATGATTAACATCCTGGTTGGATGGAGCAGGATGGTGTGAGATTTCATCACAGTACTCAAAATGGCACACAATTTAAAACTTTTGAATTGTTTATTTCTGAGATTGTCCATGTAATATTTTCAGACCACAGTTGACTGTGGGTAACTGAAACCACAGAAAGTGAAATCGTGGATGAGGGAGGACTGCTGTACCGCTGGCCTTAGTTTCCAGCTCTTCCCGAGGTTCGTACTAATGCCTTTAGTCTCCAGTGCTTCCAGAGGTTGGAGCTGGTATGTGTCCCCAGGCCCCCATCATAAGTCATGTTAGACTGTCCCGTGGCCAAAGCCCTGAGGCAGACAGAGACAGTCCTATCAGGCAGGACATACCCAGGGTCTAGAGATTACCAGTAGACTTCTCTTTACGTAAGATTAATTCTTCAGCACATACCTTCTATTCGTAGTTTAAGTGTTTTCATCATGAAAGTGTGTTAGACTTTGTCAAATGCATTTCTGCATCAATGGAAATTATCATATGTATGTTTTTTCTTCAATTAATGTGGTATCATTGATTTTTATATGTTGACATACCCTTCCATTTCTGGGATAAATCATGTTTAGTCATGGTATTGTAACCTTTGAATATGCTATTGGGGTTGATTTGCTAGTATTTTGTTGAGAACTTTGGCATCTGTGTTCACAAGTAATACTGATCTGTAGTGTTTTTTTATATCTTAGTCTGGCTTTGGTATCAGGTAATGCTGGTCTCAGAACAAGTTTAGAAATACTTTCTTTTCCATTTTTTGGAAGACGTTAAGAAGGATTGGTGTTAATTTGTATAGAAATTATTGGTAGATTTTGCCACTGAAGCCATCTGGTACTGGGCTTTTCTTTTGGGCGAGATTTCTGATTATTGATTTACTTTCTTTGCTTATTATAGTATAGGTCTGTTCAGATTTTCTGTTTCTTGAGTTCGTTTTGATAATACTGTGTCTTTCTAGGAACTTGTCCATTTCATCTAGTTTATCTAATTTGTTGGTGTATAATTGTTCGTAGTATTCTCTTGTGATCCTTTTTACTTCTGTAAAGTCAGTGGTTATAGCCCCACTTTCATTTCTGATTTTAGTTATTTTTATCTTCTTTCTTATTGTCCTAATAAGTCTAGCTAAAGGTTTGTCAGTTTTTGTTGATGTTTTCAAAGAAGTGACTTTTGGGTTTGTTGATTTTCTCTATTATTTTTTTATTCTCTATTTTGTTAATCTACACTTTGATCTTTATTTTTTTCCCTCCATCTTCTTGCTTTGGGACTAGTTTACTCTTCCTGGGTTTTTTTGTTTGTTTTTTGTTTTTCTTTTTTAAATCTCTTTCTGTTTTCTTAAGATGGAATATTAATTTATTGATTTGCGATCTTTTTTTAATATAGGCATTTACAGCTATGAAATT